TCCTGTCACTATAGTCCCTCCCCAGCATCCCTATAAGCCCTTCAGATACTGAATTCAATAGCCAAATAATGGTTCATTATTCAGAGTGCTTGCCTTGAAGAAGCACTATTACTAGGTACCAAACAGTTATTGTCTTTTTCCTTGACCTAAAGTGAAATTATGTATTCCATTATAAACTAGAGAAAAGTAAACACTGCTAGATAGTGATTTAAACAACAAAGAAACACTAAAGAGACACCAAAACCACTTGGTGCCCTACTTTGTTGAGGCACTCTGACATAAGCAGCTTTATTCCCTCTCATGAGAGCACAGGACTTCCATCTCTGTATGCATTGTATGCATTTCTTGTGGGCACAAGATGTAGAGATCTGTGTCATACAGTTGTAAATGGAGATTTCAGCTAGGTGTTTGCCTTCCACATAGTTTGGCAAAAGGAGGAGAGAGCATCATGGACACTAAATGAAGAAAGTATAATGAATTAAAACCCTCTGCCAGAAGTGGAAGATGCTGTGAATGCTACAACAGTTTCAGTCTAGCTTTCCCCACCAGATTTGAAATGCAGGTAGTTGCAAGTGGAAGCGGAGTATAAAAGTATCTGCCAACCCAATAATGAGACTTACACCAACTGGGTGTCACACTTTTCTGTACGGGGAAGAGGCTCTTGAACACCATGCATCTTGCTGTTTTACCTTGTTCAATGTGCACAGTGCACTTGACCAGGTCACTAACTAAAACACCTACATCCCTGAAGGACACTGCTCACTATTTAGTTCCAAAATAAAATTATTTTTTCATAAATTAATGGAACTAGAAAAAAGGAAAAAAAGAAAAAAATGCACACACAAACAAAAAATATCCCAAATCCCAAGTACATATGTTGTGAAGATTTTCCCAGAAGAAATCACCTACAACCCTCAATGTCAGAAAACAATACCAAGGATACAACATCAATTCCTTCTGATTATTAGGGAAACAATTTACCCAACTGGGATAGAGTCCATTTTTGAAGTAAGACCAGGAATAAGGAAAAAGTAGCCTTTATTTTCAGTACATTTACTGCTGATCAAATCTCTTGCATATGAGATCTAAACCCATACAACTTTTTTCCTTTCTTTTATTAACATATTTCAAGTGGATCTGGATAAGCCACTTAATTACTGAATATTTGTTCTAGCTAAACCTTTATATCTTTCTAGACTGATCTGCTGGGAGGTTTGTCTGTTATTTTTAAATTCAACATGTCTATTATGGGACAAACCCTTTTTCTTCCCAAAATTTCTGACCTACAAATTGCTGTAAAATGAACAGTAATTTTTGTCCCACCTTTTTGTTATTATAAGCCAAAATATCCCATCCTTATTGATTAATGATGCTAACCAATGGCACCAACATCTGATTAACATAAAGAATGTGTTTTCTCTATTGAAAAAATTCCCTTATACTTTAACAGAAACATTATCCAGAAGTTATATTCCTATATCTTAAAATTTGAAATATTCTGTCGGGCAGAAAGGGAGAGAAAAATACATTGGGGCTCCCCCCCTTGCTCTTCATACAGCTGATGAAAAATATTTCTGGTTTTGCTATGCATTTTGCTACAAACTTGTCACACATCTCTAATTATTTCTACTAAATGTGGCTACTAGTTTCAGTGACAGCTTTGTTGGGAGGAAATCACAAGCCTTAAAAACAAAAAAAAGCACATTTTATTAGTTTCTTTTTGAAAATTGTTATCATTGCTGCAAATACATCTCCATTGGAGAAGTGGAACACTAAGGAAGCCATTTTGAGGAGGAGGATGTGAGGCATCTTATCACAGCAATGAGTGGGAGTGCCTTTCCTTGCAGCTGCTGTAATAGTACTGTTAATTCTTAACTAAAAGACCACCAATGATAACACCTAGAAAATAGCACAATGCTCTGTAATGTAATATTAATATTGTAGTGCAGGATGATAACCAGCTGCAAACAAATCAAACTAATTTGTAAAAATTATATAGCCTCATTCTGCATTGCTTTCAAGTTCATAAAATCACAGAATGCTTTGGGTTGGAAGAAACCTTAAAGATCACCCAGTTCCAAACCCCTGCCACAGGTAGGGACACTTCCCACTAGACCAGGCTGCTCAAAGCCCCATTCAACCTGGCCTTGAGGACTGTCAGGGATGGGGCAGCCACAGCTTCTCTGTGCCTCACACTCCCACAACTTGTAACTTCTACCTACTATCTGATCAGTCAGTTTAAAGCCATTCCTCATTGTCCTATCACTACCTGCCCTGTAAACCCCACCTCTCCAGCTTTCTTGTTGGCCTGTTTAGGCACTGGAAGCTGCTCTAATGTCTCCTTGAAGCCTTCTCTTCTCCTGGCTGAACAATCCCAAGTATCTCTCTCAGCCTGTCTCCATAGGAGAGGTGCACCAGCCCTCAGAGTATCTTCATGGCCCTCCTCTGGACAACTGATGAGAGCATGGGTTTTTTGGTTGGTTGTTGTGTTTTTTTTTTTTTTTTTTTTTTTAAGAGCATCTGAAGGAAGAAGAGCTCTGCAAGGGGGAAGTTCCCAAATTGCCATTCCAAGTGTTTTGTTTTGTTTTCAGAATATATTTGTCTTCGGACAAAAGGAGAACAAGGAAAGTCTAAGTAGCACTCTCAAGTAAAAAAGGACAACTGGGAAGGCAGAATTTTGGTTGAAGATTTCTGTTACATCCTGTACATCCAGTCTCCAGGCAGAACTGGGGTGAATAAGCCAAAACACTGAACTCTATCAATGCCATTCTGGCTTTTGAATGAATGTGACAGTGAGAGGCTGTGGGAAGCAACTTAACACAAATGGAAAATTTGCAAGTGAAGAACTATAATAATCGTCTCCCATAACAGTCAGGTCAGGTTTCAAGGGGGTTTTGTTTGCTTTTTTTGTTGGGTTTTTTTTTTCCTTCCCCCACTCTTGCTGAGTGCAGTTTAGCTGGCACATTTTGTTCAGGATACTTATGAGAATGACTAACAATTTGTTGCTACTGATAAATAGCTTAGGTCACTCAGACTACAGCACAGACAAACAGCAGCAAGAGCCTCAGTGAGCTCCACTGATTGTCATGTATCTAGAAAAGAACTCAAGCAGTTATGGAAAATGTATGTTTTAATTATTTCCATGTCCACAGCTGCTGCAAATCATAAGTTTTCTGTTGAATTCAGTACAGCATAGCAATTCTCCCAGCTGGGAATAGCAGCTCTTTCCCTCCGCAGGCATATGCCTCTGTGCAGCAAAACAACTCTACCGCAGGCCTTCAGCGCCCTTGTATCAAAGGCAAAAGACACAGGGTTCAACCACCCCAGCAGAGTACCATACAAAGTAGGTCAACTAGAGACAAATATACCACATGTAAACTATTTATCATGTAGTAGCAGCCCAGGTACACCTCTTGCAATAGTCCATACCAGCTGACCCCACTTTCAGGGAACTACCATAGAAAAAGCTAAAATTTTGCAAGCTCACATGCTAGCCTACCTTATTACAAGAAGTTTAGACTGCCAAAACCTTTACAATTTCTAGCATCACAGTCCCATGCCCTCTGCCCCAGCCAAAATTCAACAACAGAAATATTTAGTGTAATGCATGCAGTTTAAAATACTACAGGTTTTTCCTCTGGTTGTAACTAGCACTTAGACCAGCTGATCTCTTCTGAAATAGCCCCTTCATTCTGGTAGTAGTACAACACCATTAGCTTCCATCTGAAGCAGGCACTGCATCACATTCAAGAAAACAGTAACCCCCTGACCCAAGAGTCATCTCTCCTCTTGTCAAGCTGTACATTCCTATGGTGCTGCAGCTTCCCCACCTCTGTAACAGCAGAGCTCTTGTTCTATTTACAGCTGACAAAATGATATGTAGACAGAGCATATCTCTCATTGCTACAGCACCTGGGCTAAACTAAGGAGAAATTAGGATTTTGCAACTTTTTCCAGTTGCAATTGGATTTAATGCCTTTTTCCATTAAACAATTAGTAGTAACTAGCATTAATGCATTGAAACAAACTCCAAAGCCACTAGAAACTGCAAATTCATGCTGATATTTGATTCATCATTACATATCACTTGCATCCCATTTAGTAAAACCAGATTAGATGTACATTACCATACTCCTCTACACTGAAGCAGTCTACTGCAGGAAAATTAGAAGAGCAGTCTAGAAGGGCAGGTTTGATTTTCCCTCCTTTTTTCAGGGCAAGAAACTCAAGCCTGATTTTTCTAGAGACCCCTTTTCCTGGATCTTCAGCTTCATACCCAAAGCTCTCTGCATGTCATTTATACTTTTGGCCATACCTTTTCCATTAAGAGTTGCAGGAATAATCACTGTATCCCTGTTCACATTGGATTCAGCCAAAATATTTCAGTTTTTTAACTGAGAAACTCAAGCTCACAATGAGCACATTAAATTAACCTTTAAAGCAACGTATAATAGAGAAACCTCAAGAAAGCACTTGGGAGCAGCCAGACAACTGAGCTGAGAAGTTCAGAGATTAGTGGTGATGTTACAGAGAAGGACAAAGGGCACACAGGAGGAGACAGGGACTAAACTAGTGACAGCAAGAAAACTTCCTAAAAGCCTTTTCAGCACTGCACAGAACAACTCCTGAGAGCCGTTTACTCAGCCAAAACCAAGCCCAGAAGGAAGAAACAGCTGACAAGTACACAGAAAGCAATCATTTCTGCCATCCATGGCTACTGTAAGTTCGCTATTTAAGAATATCTCTGGTATCATTACAATAAAACCTGACTTTGCCAAATTTAAAGCCTTTTGGTCCCCAGAGACCACACACTAAAGAAGATACCTAGGCAAGTTTTCCAAAGCTCTGTCTCAAGGCCATACCACAGCTTCACACCTCTCTGTATTATTAACACTGTAAAAGTTTAATCCAAATGCTCCAGAATAAGACCAACCACCACACTGAAATTCACATGATGCACCAAAGCCATCAGAAAAAAAAGAAAGCTGCATTAAGCTTACCCTGACAAACCATGAAGCTGCAAGTAACAGACAATGAAATGGTGGCAATAACTCTCCAGGACCCTTTACACTCAGGTGTTAGAGGGGATGTGCTGACACACAGGAGAGCTTTTTCAGCCATCCAAGAGCCACACATACAACACTCCCTCCTTCCACAGTGCCCAGTCTGGCTTCTCTGCAGGTGAAAGCTAACTGCCCACCAGTCACCCCAGCACCCAGCTGCTACTCATACACCATCACTCCCTCAGGCGAGCAGCATCACCCTAGATCTAGCCCCAGCCTGAGCCAGCCCTTCTGATGTACTTAATTTTGAGTTCCAGAGTATATTAACCGCTTTTTCAATTCCATTAGCAGTCAGGTCTGCAAACAGTAAATGTCCTTCAGGTGTCTATAGAGCTTGAGAGGGTTTTAATTACCGTAGCTGTAACAAAGTATTTTCATATTCTCCTAGTTTTTTATTGTTTTCCACTAGCAGTGACCTACTTAAAAGCAAGAATAATCCCTTTTAGAACAAATAAATAAGGCCAAAAGCTTTCCTATGCAGTGCTAGCCTGATTCCTAGTTATATAAAAAGTTGTGTACAAAGTACAACTGTTGAAGTGACCCATCTCCCTGAGTAACACTGGAAAGACTTTTGTGCTATACACATCCAGCTCTGGGGGCCATGCTGCAAAACAGAGGCAAGGACATGGCAATGAATTTGAGGTGGGGCTACAAAAATGACCCACAGCTGAATCTTCAGGACCTCAGCCTCTTCATTAATTCCAGAGAGGTCCAGGTGATCTATACGTTAAATATGTGTCTGATAGCACAGAGGGGTACAGTTTCCCTAACAAATGCAGCAACTGACAGTGATGCAGTAAAGCTGAGCTGCTACAGAATTTTCTCTGGACACCTTCTCTGGGAATGCTCCTGCTGCTAGTTGAGGCAAGAAAGGAGAACAGAAAATTTCCCCACCAGGAAGAAACTCTCTTCTCCTCATTAGCTGGGGAGCACACAGACAGAGGTCTCACTCATTGCTCCCTTGTGCAGACCTTTCCTTTAGCCGCTTCTACCCTAGACTATCTCCTGAGTTATTTTCATTTTCCTCCTTTAGCCCAACAGGGCTAAAGAACCTAACATGGTTCTTTGTAATGAAGAATTTTTTCAAAATATATCAGTAGTATCAAAATGCCTTTTAAAAACATGAAACATTATAATACCTACAGGAGTTAAAAAATTAGCGTATTTTCCTTTGCCGTCTACTTTAAGTGCTGAGTCACAACCCAAATGACCTTTTTTTTCCTTTTTCTAACTTTTTCTTAAAGAGCCCACTAAATGTGTACACGTACATAGTGACCTGTGAGATCACCGCTGGGGTATCCAGTAGCAGAAAAACATTTGGTTATCAGTCATCTCCCATATTTTTTTCCTTTTTAAGTAATGGCAGATTGTCTCCTTTATACATAACCTGTTAGGTCCCCAGATCTGCTGGGTATTTTCCTGCAGTAAGTGATCTATCTGCCTATTGTGTTTCCCCTACTATTCCCTGGAGAAATGAACCTGTCATGATCTACCTTTTAGTTTCTACCTTACAGAATAATCTTTTTAAGAGTATATATTTTGGGGAGGCTGAGCTTTTCCAGATTCTTTTAATGCTCAGTCCAGAGGACCTCTGCAGAAGGACATCTTCTATGTCTTTGTTGAGTTTTTCATGCTCCTGCTCTTTCACAGCATATGTATTGGATGAATCCTGGTATTTCGTGGCAGACAATATTCCTTTAAAAGTGATTTAACCTATTCAAAACTTTGTTTAACTGAGATAATTTCAATAACATCAACCCTGTGTTTTACGCAAGTCCTGGATTTTACTATCAATGGCTTTCTAAAAAATGTTGTTTAAAAGCATTTATAATACTAATACCTCTTCTAACACAGTTTACTCAAGCTAAGCTTAATAAAGTCTTCTTCCCTCAAACTGACAGAATTGGTCACTTTTCTAACAAGGCTCCCACAACATACTATGAACTAATAATGCTGACTTTTCTCAGTGTCTCCATATAGTATGCCAGTACCCTTACTATGCCATCCGTCACATTTCCGGCATCCTCTTCATACACCAAGGAATACTGATGTTTGACCAGCTGTCATAGTAAGTACAAGCTCCATATCTTTGTCTGTCTTGGCTCCACCTTTGAACTGAGTTTTGAGATCTCTGCTCTAAGAGTAGTCTGCATTTTGCCCTCCCCCCCCCGCCCCAGGATATGTGTGATTTCCCTTTCTTAGGAAAGTTTAACCTTTCAAAAAGTTAATTCCAAATGTTCTGTTTTCTTTTTTGTATGATTTTGCACAGTGTCAGTCTGGTACTTTTATGAGTCAGATCCCCATAATTGCAAAATGTAATTAGCACAGTTCAGAACACCCATAGTTCCATTTTATTTTTGTGCCTCTGATTAAAGGCATATTTCTCATATACTCTATTTTTACATGGCATGTTACACTCAAATCTCTGCAGCACTGTTTTATGGGTATCATTCCACAAAGCAACTGAAAACAGTCAAAAAAGTACAGTGTTTTGGAACTCTTCTTCAGAAAGAAAGTGGCTTTGGTTCACTTTGTTTTCCCAACACTCATTTACTCCTAACATAGAGTGTTCAGTTACCACTCTGAATCACCTGCCTTGAAAAAAGGTGCGTTATTTAGCTATGCATTTCCATTTGCCTTTGCCCACCAGAACTTTTCTTTTTTTTCAGGTTTTTCCACAAAATTCCTGCAAAAGCACTTAAAATGCAATTGCTAAAACCACAAAGGCAGTCTAAATTAAGCTTATTTTTTCCCTGTAGAAAGAGGAGCAGATTCCCTTTAGGAGAGGGTGATATAAAACTAATACAGGAAACCAGCAACTGGGTTGTAAGCTCCACCTTCCAGCTTTACAAACTCGCGAATGCCACTTGGATGTATTTTACAGGAAAAAAATGGGGTTTTAGCAACAAACTTCATACATAAACTATCAGACTGATGGTGGGACAGCCAGATCTCACCTGAACCCAACCTCCTTGTGGACCACACCACCTCCAAGTGCCTGGATCATCTCCCTCCTCCAGGAATGTGATTGCTGCAGTAGTCACTAGATTCCTGCTTTGCTTCTATTCAGAATTCACAGTATCACAGTATCACAGTATGCTGGAGATTGGAAGGGACCTCAAAAGATCATCTAGTCCAATCCCCCTGCCAGAGCAGGAACACCTAGATAACGTTACACAGGAATGTGTCCAGGCGGGCTTTGAATGTCTCCAGACTCCACAACCTCCCTGGGCAGCCTGTTCCAGTGTTCCGTCACCCTCACTGAGAAGAAGTTCCTTCTCAAGTTTAAGTGGAACCTCTTGTGTTCCAGTTTGCACCCATTACCCCTTGTCCTATCATTGTTTGCCACTGAGTAGAGCCTGGCTCCATCCTCGTGACACTCCCCCTTTATATATTTATAGACACTTATAAGGTCACCCCTCAGTCTCCTCTTCTCTAAACTATAAAGACCCAGCTCCCTCAGTCTTTCCTCATAAATGCTCCACTCCCTTAATCATCTTGGTTGCCCTGCGCTGGACTCTCTCCAGCAGCTCCCTGTCCTTCTTGAACTGAGGGGCCCAGAACTGGACACAATATTCCAGATGGGGTCTCACCAGGGCAGAGTAGAGGGGAAGGAGGAGTACTAACCACCGCCCTTCTAATACACCCCAGGATGGCCTTCTTGGCCACAAGGGCACAGTGTTGGCTCATGGTCATCCTGTTCCACAGGACCCCCAGGTCCCTCTCCCCTACACTGCTCTCTAGCAGGTCGTTCCCCAACCTATACTGGAACCTGGGGTTGTTCCTGCCCAGATGCAGGACTCTACACTTTCCCTTGTTATATTTCATCCCGTTATTCCCTGCCCAACTCTCCGGCCTGTCCAGGTCTCACTGGATGGCAGCACAGCCTTTTGTCAGCCACTCCTCCCAGCTTAGTGTCATCAGCAAACTTGCTGATAGTACACTCAATTCCCTCATCTAAATCATTGATGAATATATTAAATAATACCGGTCCCAGTACTGACCCTTGAGGCACTCCACTAGTTACAGGCCTCCAACTAGACTCAGCCCCATAGACTACAACTCTCTGGCTTCTCTCCTTCAGCCAGTTCGCAGTCCACCTCACTACCTGGTCATCCAGTCCACACTTCCTCAATTTAGCCGTGAGGATGCTGTGGGAGACTGTGTCAAAGGCTTTGCTGAAGTCAAGGTAGACCACATCCACCGCTCTGCCATCATCCATCCACCGTGTTATTTCCTCATAAAAGGCTAAGAGATTGGTCAAACATGATTTCCCCCTGGCCAAGCCATGTTGACTGCCCCTCATAACCCTCTTATCCTTGATATGCTTTAAGATGGCACCAAGGACAAGGTGTTCCATCACTTTCCCAGGGATGGAGGTGAGGCTGACCGGTCTATAGTTACCCGGGTCCTCCTTCTTGCCCTTTTTGAAAACTGGAGTGACATTTGCCTTCCTCCAGTCCTCAGGCACCTCTCCCGTTTCCCAGGACTTGGTAAAGATGATGGCGAGTGGTCTAGCAATGACTTCCGCCAGTTCCCTCAGCACCCGCGGGTGCATCCCATCTGGACCCATGGATTTATGGACGTCCAGATTGCTCAACTGATCTCTAACCCATTCCTCATCGACTAAGGCAAGTCGCTCCGTCGAACTTCATCTAAGGTCTCAGGGGTATAGGGCTCTTCAGGACTGCCTGCAGCAGAGTAGACAGAGACAAAGAAGGCATTCAGTAACTCTGCCATCTCTGCATCTTCTGTCACCAGGGCACCCATCCCGTTCATCAGTGGGCCTACATTGCCTCTGGTGTTAGTTTTGTCTGACATGTACTTGAAAAAGCTCTTTTTGCTGTCCTTGACCCTTCTTGCCAGGTTTAATTCTAAGGAAGCCTTAGTCCTCCTAGCTGCCTTCCTACATCCCCTAGCAGCAGCCTTATATTCCTCCCAAGTGGCCAGCCCCTCCTTCCATGACCTGTAAACTCTCCTCTTCCACTTGAGCATACCCAGCAATTCCCTATTTAGCCACACAGGTCTCTTGGCCCTCTTCCTTGACTTCCTACTCCGATCTTGAGCACGGAAAAAGCAGTCCTTGAATGTCAACCAACTA